TATATATATAAAAACAATTCTGACTTTTTAGCTGGCAATTGTTAGTTATAAACTCACAATTGCAAGTTAAAATCATGCCATTCTGACTTTTTTTTTTCTCGATTCTGCATTTATATACAATAATTTATATATAGAGTTTATATCTCACAATTCTGGCTTTTTTCTCAGAACTGACTACAGATGTTTAGAAAGAGCATAAGTCATTTTTTCAGCAACAGAATAAAAAAATACAAAAGGTTATTGGCAAATTTTTGTCTCACAATTCAGACTTTTATCTTAGAATTCTAAGTTTACATCCTGGTTTTTTTTTTCACTATAGAATAAAAAAATTATGGTAATTGTGAGTTTACATCTTGCAATTTTTCTTGGTTCTTGAGTATATTCAGAAAAGTCAAAATTGTGAGATATAAACTCAAAATTGCAAGAAAAACGTCTGAATTTGTGGATTTAAAAAATATACTGTATATATAACCTTTTTTCTTTTTTTTTTCATCCCGTGGTGGAAACAAGTTTCCATAAAACATGGCCAATGTTGTTTCTAAACATCCGTAAATGACATCTTCTCAGGGAGGATCTGGAATCCCGGACAATTACGCTGTGTACACAGACATCTTAATTTCCCTACATATCTTATCTCTTTTTAAATAGGCAGGGCTGTTCATAATAAGACATATGAACGGAGCGCCGATAACCTCTTCCTCTCGCCTTTTCCATCTAATCATAGTTAGCCACGCCGCCGCGAGGAACATGTGCCAGAGACGTGCCTCTCGTTCACCCACTGTCCCTCCAGCAATTACTGTTCTGACATCTCCACAATGGCCCTGTAATTACGGCACTCATATTTATCCACCGAGCCTGCGGTCTGAATGTGGATCACAGCTTCATGTAAAACAAGCCCATAATAACATATGTGATGGCTAATAAACTGTTAGCATTCAGCGTTGTAAGTGTATGTCATTTCCTCATCTTCATTCCATACTGCGACAAAGAAAACAAGCAATGGTTTCATTAAAGAGATAGTGCACGCATAAAAATGGAAATTCTGCCATCATTTACCAACCCTTCACTGCATGCCAATGCTCAAAACACTCTGTATGTGTATTATACATATATCAAGTATATCTTCTGAAACCATGCTCTTGTGGAAAAAAAAGTGTGCTTAATTGTATTGAATGTGCATTTTTATGATTGTTTCTTAACACACTTAAGTACACTTTTAAATCATTTTAAGTACAATCGTAAATCATTGTTTAAAAGTATTTTGTTGTGCTTTAAAGTACACTGATGTGTTGACTAACTAAAGCACATGCAATACTTGATTATCATTCAAACTGTTGTTTGTTTTTTTACATAAAATTTAAATTTACTAAATAGAGATGTGTAATTACAAAATAAATAAATAATTTTTAGATAAAAGTATCAGTGAATAACATTACATTTTGGTCCATACTATTGTATGGTTTCAAAAGACTATGTCATATTGACTTAGTTTTAATACAATTTCATGATACTTTTTTTTAAATACACTTTTTTTTTTTTTTCATTTTGGGACTTGGACTTTAACACCATTTACTGTTGTTAAATATTCACTTTCACCATTCACTTTCATTATATGGAAAAGAGCAGCCTCAACATTCTGCTAAACATCTCCTTTAGTCTTCCACAGAAGAAAGAAAATCATACAGTTTTGGAATGCCATGATAATTTGTCAATGATTGAAGATCATTTTTTAGGTGAACTATCCCTTTAAACTTCACTACCGATCGATCTGAAAACAATTTTCTCAGCATCCGAGGGCTGGAAGAGGAAATCCTGCAGTACTTTGTCTCCTTAGTCCTCTTCCCCATGTTGATTAAATAAATTAGGGTGAGGTTTGTGGCATTGATCCTGTACCTCAAATCAGGATGTTATCGAGTCTGAGAGAGAGGAGTGCTCACTACCCAGAATCCCTGATTTTGATGAACCTGGAAGGGTCTGTCTGCGCTGATGAGGGACTAAGTCTGTTCTCGGCACAAACACACTATTAAAAGCACCTTTGGTGATTGGCTTCCCTGATGAGACAGACGATAAGAGTCTTACGAGAAGCCAGACCCAGGTCTTCCTGGCCCATTCCCAATCTGATGAGAAAAAAAGGTGACCGCCGGCCACAAACTACACTATGTGGGGAATACCGTATAGAAGAGATTTTGATTTTAAAAGCATGCTCAGTTTTATCAGAAACTGATTAACTTTAATCTGGCAAAGTTTTAGTACGTTGGTCGTTGTACGTATCGAAGCAGTTCACAAATGAAACATCTGGAGATTAGCGCTAAAAGAATAATACACAATTGCATTTGAAAATAAGCTTGCTTATATCATGACTTGTGTTTTACAGGAATTATACCCGAGCGCTGCGGATTGCAAGCTATCCTGCATCAGGTGCGCTACTGAGCAAGTTTACCATGTCAAAAAAGCCATATTGAGCTGGTTATGTGGTGCAAACATCACAATGTATTAGTTTACAAATCATGCACTGTGGTAAAAGTGTATTGAGGTCATAAAATAGTATTGTGCAAGGAAGCATGCGAAATTAAGTGTTTATTAATCGATAATGTTAATCCTGATTTGTGTGAAAAGGAATAAAAGTTGTTGATGTTTTACTGCAATTTGTGTTCGCTTCAGCTGGAAACTGCAGTCAAATGTAAGTTCTGGAGCTCTTTTTTTACATTTCTTGTCAATTCTGAATGTAATTTCAACTACATTTGTTATTTTTCCTTCACTGGAACACAAAACAATTCGTGTTCACTTCAGCTGGAAACTGCAGTCAAATGTAAGTTCTGGAGCTCTTTTTTACATTTCTTGTCAATTCTGAATGTAATTTCAACTACATTTGTTATTTTTCCTTCACTGGAACACAAAAGATGATGTTTAGCAGAATATTCAAGCTCTTTTGGTCCATGACAAAAAGGAAAAAAATAGTCCATACAACACCAGCACTATATTTTAAATCCCCTGAAGCCATATGAAAAGTAGTACAGTTTTAGAACAACATGAGCAGCAGAAGTTACTAAAAGTATTGCACTACAATATTGCGTTACTCCCCAAAAAAGTAACTAATTCTGTTACAGTACTTAGTTACTTTTTATGGAAAGTAATGCATTACATTACTTTTGCGTTACTTTTTCTTATTTGGGCTGGGCTTGCTTGTTTGTTTTTAATATAAAGTTGTTTCTGGTGAATGTAAAAGCCCTTTCACACCAAAAGTTAGCCAAATAAGCCTCAGATGTACAAATTCAGATGTACATTATACATTATGTCATTAAAGACATAAAACAGGATTAAACACATAAAGGATATTTGCGATACATATTATTTATACATATATTATTGCAAGTTTGCATCATATTCTGAATTTGCATTTCCCTGTTTTTATTCATTTTAAGGAATACTGGATCTGTTCACACAGTGCACTCAATGCCTTTTCACATACTGACGATTTCTCTCAACATGGGGACAGGAGAGCTGTCAGTCAATAAATGGGAAAACTAAATAACTGGCATTATTTATTTGAAAAAGTAATTCAGGTATGTTCTTGTAAATTAAAAACTAATGCATTACTTTACTAGTTACTTGAACAAAAGTAATCTGATTACGTCACTCATGTCACTTGTAATGCATTACCACCAATACCGAACATGAGGGTTAATAAATGATGACCAAATTTTCATTTTGGGGTGAAACTCTTTGCAGCTATTACATATTTTTTTCCTTATGTTCCTAATGAGTACATGAAATTTGCCCTGAGAAAATCATCAGTCAGACCTCATCTGAAGAGTGACATCTTGGCACCAATTTCATTTTGTTAGAGAAAATCAAAGTCCCTCATAGTACGATTGAGAATTACTAAACCCACTTCTAGCAGCGAAGGCCTAGACATTTACATATCTTAGTGAATATATTTCCGACTCTTGGTTTCACATAATGACTTGCATCCTTAGAGAGTTCCCTGCACTGTCAAAGTGGGTTGTCTATTGGTTATGTACATCACCCAGGAGATGCAATCCATCTACGCTGATTTTCATTTCACTGGATTTCTCGTTATATTGTGAGAGAGTTCCATTTTTGCAGGGCTTAAAGATTATAAATCAAGGATAAGAACTAGCCATGGGCAACTTTTGGCTTAGAACTCAAAAAGCAGAGGTGCCATCAAACAACTTCCTAATGGAACAGGGCAAGAAGGCAGGGAAACACCAAATCCATACAATTAGATATCATAGGATGGTTGTGTCTAGAGGGGTTACTTGCTCTCATCTTATTTGTGTGTGGCAGACGGCATCTGCGCTCAGTTCAACTATCATCAGTTGGGAGCGAACGTGACGGCATGACTTCAGTGGCACCTGGTTATTCATGTTTTTGTTTGTTTGTTTTGTTTTTTGTTGTTTTTTTGTTTTTGTTTTTTTCCTTGTAATGCATTGGCAATATTTTGACACTACAACAGGGGGATTGTTTTTTTTGTTTTTTTTTAATCTAAAAATTCAAAATTCTTTGTACACTCATAGTTAAAAGATTAGAATAATGAAGATTTTTTTAAATGTTTTTGAAAGAAGCCTCATTTGCTCACCGAGGCTGCATTTATTTGATCAAAAATACAGTAAAAACAGTACTATTGTGAAATATTACAATTTAAAAGAACTGTTTTCTATTGTATTATATGTTAAAATGTAATTTATTCCTGTGATCAAAGCTGGATTTTCAGCATGATTTGCTGCTCAAGAAACAATGCTTACTATTATCAATGTTGAAACCAGTTTTTGCTGCTTGGTATTTATTGTGGAAACACAACCATTCAAATGTTTGTGGTAAGTAAAAATAATTTTAAAAAAAAAATTCAGCAAGGATGCATGAAATTGATCAAAATTGATGAAATCGATTTCAATGCTGTTCGTTTTAACTTTCTATTCATCAAAGAATCCTAAAAAGAAATGTATCACGGTTTCTACATTAATATTAAGCAGCAAAAACTTCGTTCAGTGTTGATAATAATAAGAACCATTATTAATAATTGAGCACCAATAATAGCCTCTAATTATTGAGCGGCAAATCAGTATATGAGAATGATTTCTGAAGATTATGTGACACTACTCTGAAGTAATGATGCTGAAAATTCAGCTTTGATCACAGGGAGTTACATATTAAAATATATAAAACAGTTCTTTTAAATTGCAATATTACATTTTTACTCTATTTTGGTGAAATAATTTCATGAGCATAAGAGATTTCAAACACTTAAAAAAAATGAATTATTCCAAACGTTTGACAGGTAGCGTAGGCTGCAGCAGATATATGTCTGCAACAAATATTTATAAAATAAGCCTTCATAATATTTCTTACAGGGTTTTTTGAGAACACAAAATGAGGTCTGTTTTTAGGTTTGAGAACTTTATAATCCTCTTTCTGTAGTGGCGTCTGGCACATCACAGTATGTTCTGAGTTTGAGTCTCTGCCATTTCATTGGAGGAGAGCTGACGTCTGGGGAAGAAAGTGAATGTTGACTTGATATGCATGTCTGCTACTGTTTGCTGGCAGTGGCTCTCAGTATACTTTGCATCATAGTTTAAAGCTATTTTCAAGTGGCTGTGAAAGGGCTGCTGCGAGGTTTTCTTTATAGCAGTTTCAGCATCCTGTCACTTTGGCTCTGACTCCAGCTCAGCTGACTGCACTTGTTAAAAACAAGCCATCCAAACAAACTTTCTCTCATTTTCGGATAATGGTGCCAAAAAGCAAAGGGTTGACTGACAGTGTAATCCAAGACTGTACCACAAAGATGTGTTTTATAGAAACAGGAAGGAGCTGGAGTCGGATCTGTGGCTCTTCCACATCTATGACTGGAGCTGATTCTAATTTAGATCCGATTTTTCCTGCATGATTTCAAATGTGATCCGTTTCGATGATTACATTTGTGGGGCTCAATGAGGTGTGACACTCAATGAAGAGATTTGAGGAATAATTTACCAAAAAATGAATCACCCTCATGCCGTTCCAAATCCATATGCTGTTATATTTTCCATAGAACACAAAAGGAGAAAATATGAAAAAATGATAACATGCTCTAAATCCATATATTCACTCTAAAGTGAAAGTTTATACCAGCCTGCACATTCTAGCTCATAATAATCCCCGTTCACACGGATCTGCAAAGACGACTAAAAACACGGTGTTATTCATCGTGGCCAGTAGTTGGCGATGTGACTTTGTAAAAAAAAACATTATGCGTCTGCGCGCATATGCATTACTATAGACTGAACACATAATACACATGCGCATGACAATTTTCACAAATTTGCGTCTTTGCAATTTACACAGAGATGAGGCTGTAAATGAATGGACAAACCCCCACCCCACAAAAAAAAAAAAAAAAGTTTGGCATGTAAACACTCCCTAAGTCTGAAACACTTCCCTGTGTAATTTACAAATCTATTTAAATCTACTCTATCTTTCATAGAGATATAATTTATTTCATATGTAAGCAAAATGCACAATTAGGGCTGCACGATAATGGTTAAACTGACTGCTTAAACTTTGCTCACAAATTAAATCACGATTATTGTCATTTTAGAAATTTCTAGATGGTTTCTTTTACCTCTAGTTTCCTAATGTATTATATTTATCATATGAATAAACACTGTATTTACATGAAAACTGGTAATGTACAACAAGAAGCCTGTCTCAGAAGCTAAACCAGTAAAACTCCTATTAACTCCAACAATTCCAAATTATGTACATGTGTTTCTATTAAAACATAAGTGCATTTATTCTGCAACCAATATAGGGATTCATGTTCGATTTATTACAGTTCAGGTTTGTTCGCAGATTTAGTTGCAACAAACAGCACAAACAGTCCCATGAAAGACAAGAGACTGGCTGTATTATTGTATACTGTACTTTCATTTGAGCAAAATATCACCGTAGAGATTGCTAAGATCCAACTTACAAGTTTGCAAGTGTTTTCATATCATGATCGCTTTTTTTCTGTAGAGAGAATGCATGCACATGGTGGCCAGGTTGGGAAGATTAAGTAAAATATTGAGCAGGAAATGTATCCATTCGAGAAAAAACTTCTGACTGGGTGATTTAAAATCTTGACATCTGGCAACCACTTGCATAAAACATAAAAAACACAAATGCATACATATATACATACGTTTTCAGAGTGCAAGTAGAGTGCAAATATCACAGAGCTTAATCTGAAGAAATTGTGATCATGATTAAAATACAATTTCTCATACATCTGAAAATATAACCAAATGAACCCGAATCAAACTGAATCTTGCTGGTATAACTACTGTGTGAAAAAAAGAGCTGCATGAACATTCTTCAAAATATCTTCTTTTGTGTTTCAAAGTACAAACAACAGCATAAGGATTTGCAAAGGCATAAGGACATTTAGTTTTTTTCAGGTGCAGACTGCCAATGCCAGTTAAGAGGGACACTTTTACAGCAACAATTTTTATCTTGAAGATTTGAATTTATTGCATGTTATATAATACAAACAAACTCTTTAGCAATCAATTTAAAAATACAATGTTGCTAATAAGATCCAATCATTCCAAGCAGCAACTACATAAAAAACGCAAAAACGGATCAAATGCGAATGAGATGGATGTGGAAATGACAATATTCAAGCCTCATTGAATGAATCCCATCAATGCTTATGCTTATTTTGAATAGCTAATGCTGATGCAGTCTGATGAATGTTTTCGAATCCCTCACTGCTGAGACTGAATCCAGAGAGGAGGGAGAATCCCAAACATCTCGGCACATGCTCGGAAATAAGCCGCGCTCTGGAGAGGGCCGACTCTTCTCTCACTCTAATAATTTGCATCATTCCGAGAGAGGAACGCTGTTATCATTCCAATTCAAGTAATTAAAACATCAGTCTGCAGCACAGATTTTCATTTTTTTCCCACTCTGTTCCCCACGCAGCCTTTGGTCTCCAAAGCATCAGCACATAACAAGCCAATTTCCCTACATCAGCTTATATTCACATCTGATTCTGTCACAGTGCTGTTGGGAGCCGGAACAAGGTCTCAGTACACAGAAATCTAAATAACGTTATGACGCTTGGCGCAAACCTCATTTATAAACCAACGCCTCTGCTGAATTTGATTACTTTTTTCTTTGTTTGTTTGTTTGCTTTGCTTTTTGACTTGGATTTTCCCATTGCAAAAAGAAAATAAGAGAAGCACGTACAGAATAAAAACATATTTGGAAACGCCATTTTGATGTTTAGAGGAACGATTACTGAGATCCAGCTTGTTATCGTGCTAAAGTGCATGGAGTGAAAGCACATGGATGCATGCAAGTCATTTTGACACACTTAATGATTGTCTTTTAAAGAACTTTTCTAATTAACATGATAAGATGAGTGTGATCTGGCCATGCATTTGAAACCAAAAAGGTTGAATTAGTTTGTTTCACATTACTTTGTCATGACAGGCCAGTCGAAAGCAAAAAAAAAAAAATTATATATATATTTTCCTGTCAAACATCAGTGATCATAGGCACCTGCCTTGATCATACGTGGAGGAAGCAAAATTGCATGTACCCTCAATACAGTTGCATCATGGTTGCACACTATTCTTATAAACTCAACATGAAATCAAGACTGACACTGTTTACTTTCTTAATGCACAATCCTGGCCTTATTCGAAAGACTGTTGACGCTCGGTCCGTAAAGTCAACATGAAATCAAACATTGCTGTGCATTATTTCCCTAAGTGCACTTAATTATACTGAATGTGCACTTATAGTGTATTTCAAAATCCTAAAAGTGAAAAAGAAATCTGTACTTGCAGATAATATAATGAAATAAAAGGCCAC